TTATATATATATATATATATATATATATATATATATATATATGTTCATATTTCTTATCAGTTTTTTTTATTCATACACTTACAATCACTTTCTCTATCGTTTTTTCTTCTTCTTCAGAATATAGGACTTTTCACCTGCAATATTATAATTTATATGTGAAATAAAGTATTCATTAGGAATTAAGACCCGTGACTAACAGACTGTAACACTTTCTTAGTTTAATTTGTTTTACTCTCCATTCTGATTTGTTTAAAATTTAAAATTATTTTTCTCAAAAAAAGAATAAAATAATTTTCACTATAAAATTAAAAGTCGTATTTTCTTTTTTATATTAATTTATATTAGAATTAAATGAATTATCTCAAGAAAGAATAAAATGATTTTCACTATAAAACTTAAAACCTATTCAAGAAGATTTTATATGAAAAAAGAAAAAAACATTAACATATTTTGTTTTTAATATTAAAACTTAAAAACTACATTTTGAGCGGTGTCTTGTAAGTTGTAACACACGCCGTTTAAACTTCACACCAATAATATTTTGACGCATTTTGCTATATATAATTTGTAATTCATGATTTAAAACACAGAGAAACATTTTCCAAAAAAACAAAATTAATGCATATTAAAAACTAATCAATATTTTACGCGGTAAATAATATTTGGGAAAAAATCTGCATAAATATTATAAAACATTAATATTTCTAATTCACAGCAATTTAAATTTTAATTGCAATAAATAAAATCATTTAATATTCAATTATTTTTATTTTCATAATCCCCGAGATTCCTTCTTTCGCCCTATATATTAATTAAAAATAACAAGAAAATCAGATACAATACGAAATAATAATAACAAGTAATAATTTTATTTTGTCCTTTTTTATCTCAAAATTCAAAACCCGGGTAAACAAAACCAGACTCCATACATCCCCCATTTTCTTCATTTATATATATATTTTTAAAAAAAAACTGCTTAACAAAGTGAAGAGTTATATTCTTTTTTCCGGAAAAGAAATCAGAAAATACAAATTTCTTTTGGCAAGAGTTTCTTTTATTCCGAAAAAAGCTTAAAAAACGGGTTTTCTTCTGGCGCCTTCTTCACAGTGCTGCGTTTTCAAACAACTTTTTTTTTTTTTTTTCCTTCTTCTTCTTATACTTGTTCACCCACAAGCAAATTTGTTACCTTTCTTACGAAACTGAATTCACAATCTCAAAGGGTGTCTAATTCATGGATCAACATAACCATACAGACACCGACCAGTTTTTGACTCTGGGCTCCACCTCGACCGAGCCTGAGCCGCACACTCCGAAGGAAGTGCTGCTGCATTCCGGCACCGACAACGACAGCAACGTTGTTAGTGCCATTAACGTTGCTTCTGCTTCGGAGCTTGCTGTGACCGTAGCAAGCGCCGATGCTGTAGGTTCGGAACAGCCGGGGGTGAAGAGAGGGAGGGGGAGGCCTCGGAAGAACGACGTTGTTGGGAGCGCGGTGTCTCCGGCGACGGCGCCGCCGGGGTATTCCGATAGCACCGCCAGGAGAGGCAGGGGACGCCCTCGTGGTTCTGGGAAACTGCAGATTCTAGCCTCCATTGGTGAGTTTTCTTGTGCTCATTATTAATTACTATGTATTATTGCATGCGTTATTTTCTTCCTTGTTTTCTTATGAGTCCTTTGCTTTCATTGATTTTTTTATTATAAAATTATATACAACAAATAGAATTATTTTAAAAGAAGGGGTATTAAAAAAATTGGTATATACTCATTTAAATTTATACGAAAGAGTACATGAAGGTAGAATTTTGTTTTGTATGATGATTTTATTCGATTTGAAGAAAGAATAATACTTGGAATGAGAATTTTGCTAGTCTAGATTGTGTTTCACAAAGTATATAATTGAAAAATATTATCATCTTATAAGGCATTACATTCTAAAATGGTATATAACTAGTGTTATTAGACTTATCAGATAATTTGTTATTAAATTATTATCTAATTTTTATAAATGTTTAATCTTTTAAATTTATGTTTGAAATGTCTAATCATAAATATAAATAAATTATATTAGAGATTTAACATCAACCAATAATACAACTAAAATAGAATATATAACTGAAGAATATATATATATATCAATTTATTTTCTTAAGATTGAGACTAAAACTCACATTCTAAAAACATATTATTAAATAAATAACTTATATAAAAGTTAAGAGTTGATGTTTATTTAACAACTGGACTAAATATTTTAAGGGAAATTTATATTCTCTCTAAAGTGCTTTTTCGGATAAAACACATTTCTTCAGATTATGTTTTTTCTCCAAAATTTTAAAAAAAGCTTCCTTAGCAAAGCAGAGAAAGTAAAAGCGCAAATAATACACATGAATAGCGAAAGTAAATAGGTGAATAATGAAAGTAACTATGTATTTTTGCTCTAACGGAAATTTTATTTCATATAATTATTTTTATTACTATTTGTTACTGATTATTTACCTCATTAATCACTTTAAAGAAAGAAGTAAACAAATTCTTTTAATTTTTTTTTGAAATTGTTATTATAAACTTTATAAATAAATTTTTAAATTTTAAATTAATATTAACTCCTCTTTTACAGTGTTTGATTGGAGGAGAATGGAAGGAGAAAGGATTTTTTTTAAAAAAAATATTGTTTGACTGATTTTTTAGAAAAGGAGAGGAGTGTCTTTCATCCAATTTTAACTCTTCGATATTTGGGAGATTTGAAAAGATGGGAAGGAGAAAGATTTTAAAACATCTTTACTATAATCTTAAATATATTTTTATTTATGTTTTTAAATTAAAAATTATAAGAATAAAAAGATAAATTCATCTCTTTTTTCTTGTGAATTAGACAAAAAAACATGTTTTTTTTCTCTTCTTTTTAACTAAACAAAATTTTTAATTTCCCTTTTCTCCTTCCTTACCTTCACTTCCCCTTGATTAAAATTCCTTCCCTTATCTCATAAACTAAACAGAAACGTTTTTATTTTTAATATTTTTATGTGAGGTCATTTAAACCTCTCAACCAATTTTCCTCCCTTTATTGTTCATATATACCGATATTAACATAATCTCGTTCAACTGTTCAATTCTATTTCTTTTAACATTCGTGTCCTATGTAAAACATGTTAGTATGTTACTATTCTGCTTTAATTATTTTTATAAAGTTTAATTGATTTCCAACGTAATTTTTTTACATAATCAATTATTAAAAAAAATATTCTTAAATGATTGTCATGAAATTTGACAGAAGGAGAGGAATTGTCTCTCTTTTCGTTTTAGTTTCTTAAAATTAAATAATTTTTTAAAACATAAAAAAAATAATAGAACTAAAAAAACTTATGTTAATTTTCTTTTATGCTTTGAAGCAATTTTTTACTCATCAAAATTATAAACACTAGAGTTTGTACCTAAGATCCTATACATTCTATCTTTATCTCCACTACTAGAGTATATTAATAAATTAAAATTTAGATTTGAGAGTGTATTTTTGATTACGTAATATATTACCTTTTTAGTTATATTCTTTATTTTTTTTAAATGATCTTTGCATTTTTTTTTTGTGTTTGTTATTTTTTATATTTTTTCTTTTTTCTTTTTTGTCTTTTTAATATGTGAATAAGTTGCTTCTAATCTCTACAAATTTTATTTTTCTAGGGGTGAACTGAAAAAATGAACAAAATACTATAGAAAGTAAAATAAAAAATAATATAGTAGAAGGACTAAAATAATAAAAAATTTCAAGGACCAAAACTAAAAAAGTGATATATTATAAAGATAAAAATATTTTTAAACTTGAACTTTAAAAGTACTATTAAAAATTTTATTGATTAGTCTCACTAGAGATTTCAAAACAGTCACAATTTTTAACATAACGTTTGGATGTGAATAAGTCGAAATGACACGTCTTATTCTATTTCGATTTTTAGGCTTGACCATTTTTAAATGCACTATTTTTTAATCTCATGTTCTATTCTGTTCTACGAACTTTTGTAACATTCCAGGCATAAAATAATATTATGTTTTGATTTGTTCTAAACTTCTAATAGGACCATCTCACATTGTTGTTTTATTGGTGTAGGCATTTTTATATTTTTCTCATGCTTGAAACTTTATTTGTTGCAGGTGGGTATATTGCAGAAACAGCTGGAGGAAGCTTCATACCTCACGTGCTGACTGTGAACCATGGGGAGGTAATAGGAGTCCCTTAAAAATTTGTCCAAATATCATATTTGTCTTCAGGAATGTTTGGATAAAGTTAAAAGAAAAAATAAAATAAGTTTTGTATAAACTAAATCATTCGTATATAGGTTTTTTTCTTCTTCTCTAATTTATGTATAAACTAATTTTAATTTATGAAAAATTTTATTTCATTTTTTTCTTATCTATTTTTTTTTCTTTTAAGAGTATTTATGGAGAAATTTATTTAAACAAATTTTAATTTGACATATTTTACGTATGTGGTATCATAAGAGAATAATGTTTTGGTCATTTTCAGGATATGGTTGGCAAGATAATGTCATTTTTTGACAAAGGCCATAGAGCAGTTTGCATACTTTCTGCTACTGGTGCTGTTTCAACTGTAGCCATTCGCAAACCTACTGATTCTGGTCATGGTATTTGGAGATATGAGGTACAAATTGTACAAACAATCTTGCATGTGTAACAATAATTATAGATTTTGGATAATGAAAATGGAGAAGAGAAACGTTGAAACAATTATATACCAAAATTGTTAGGGTGTGTTTTTGAACTTGTTTGAAGGGTAATTTTTTTTTTTATGAAGAAGATTATTATATCTTTTTTACTTATAAGTTTTATCTTCTTTTTTTTTTGAGAGAGTATCATTAAATATGATAACAATAGTCAAGATTTGTCATGCATATATAGGATTTAGTGGAGAAGGTATCTTTTTATTAATTTCCTCAAGGAAGGTCCAAACTTGAAGGGACCTAAAATTTTGCATGATAATGTTTAGATAAGCTTTCCCACTTCTTTTGTGTGTACTTTGTCTTTTATTTGTTGATTATTATAATTGATTTTGTTGCATACAGGGCTACTTTGAGATATTATCTTTATCTGGATCAAGCATCTATGCTTGTACCTCTACTGGTCCAATTCGTAAAACTGGCACGTTGAGCATTTCATTGGCTAAACCTGATGGGAGTATTTTTGGAGGTGTCGTTGAGAGCACATTGATAGCAGCTTGCCCTATTCAGGTAAGAATTCTAAAAAATGTTGTAGAGATTTATCCTTTGATTTCATCCAAGCTATGCTATTAAACATTGAAAAACCCTGATAAGATTTAAAGCAAAATTGAAAGATGATTCAAATCAATTACTCCATAGTTATTTATAAGTATAGTTATGTTGTATATACACCGGCACATATACGGAAAGAAATATTGTCAAAGCTATGAACTTTAAACCGCGTGGTTGGATATTTTTTTTTTTTTTTAAATATAGAAAGAAAAATTGAAATAAAGTTAAATTTAATTCATGTATAAGTTAAAAATAGATTTTGAAAAAATTAGTAAAAAAGAATTTCTACAAATTAACTTATATATAAACTAATTTTATTTTATAGAAAAATTCATTTCATTTTTTATTTTTATTTTTTTCTTCTAGAAATATTTTTGAAAAAATTTAGTCAACCAAACCCAAAACCTTTGTAGTTACTTTTGGGATTGGTTGCAACTTTTGATGATTGTAGACTTTATGGACAAATTAGTGTTACTCAAATTGATTGACAATTAATTGATTATTTTATAGTTGAGTTTAACTTAACTCTCTAAATTTTCAAACTAATCTCTTTTTTTTTTATTTAAAAATACTCTTCTAACTTTTAATTCTAAGGTCAGCTTAATTTACACTTAACGGAATGAATTTTTTTTTTTTCAAACATATAAGCACCCACATTTGGAACCAGCTAATTGAGACTTTTAAGTTTCAATTGCTAACCAAATATTTAGAAATTAGTTGAATTCGACCTAACTGAAATTGAAAAAGAAAGTTACACACAAATTTTATTTTATTTTTATACCGGAATATATGTTTTTCTGTGAAACATATTTTGAAACTGATATTTAAATATACACTATATAGTTGATAAGGGATTAAATTTTGTTTGATGCACTATGTTTATTTGTTATTGATCACTATTGCCATGAAGCCATTTTCAAACTGTGTCTCTCTGTGTACATCAGCTTGTTATGGGCACATTCAAGCAAAACATCAGTAACCAAATCAAGAGAAAACAGTTGTCTGAATCTTCTAGTGGGCCCATTGTGCTGGTTAATCCAGATTCAGAAAGGGATAACCTGAAAGTTCTAAAGTTGACACAAGGTGAACAGGGTTGTCCTTCACCACCAACAACAGCAACTATTGATGATAATGTCTTTCCTGCCACATCCAATGGTGTGACAGATAATGTTACTCCTTTAGATCACAATGTGCAGTCTGCCTCAGTTAATGGTGGTGATTTGGATTGCCAGAGTCCACAGCCTGTAACAGACCAAAGGACTTCTGCAGATGTGCATGCAAGTGTGACAGAGTTATAAAGTTATGTAATATAGCCTCTTTTGAGTTTTCATTGTGGAGAACTAGTTTTGTGCTGTTGATATCAGTGGTCAAAATTTTCTAGTGTCTGACTGTGGAAAATTGTTCATCTAGTTTTGGACTATGTGGCAGAGAACTTGTGAATCATCATTGTAAGTAAAAAAGAAAATAAATTCCTTTTGACTAATGTGGTAATTCCTTCGGTGATTTTACTTCTTGCTTTATTTTTCAAGTTAGTTTTGAATGGTCCCGGGGAAGTCATATTTTGCTTAAGACGCGACAGAAAATACCACATTTGCCTTCTAAACTAAAGGTGTGAATGGTAAAAGAGAAGCGGAAGAAAAGAAAAAGGAAAGAAGGGTAGAGAAGTGAAAGAAAATTAGAAAATTAGAAAATTAGATGTGTTTAATAAGAGAGAAATTGAAAAATGTTTTTATGCACTCCATCCCACAATGAAAAACATCTCCACTAAAATTAAGGAAACTGCATCAAAGTTACCACAGCGTAAGAATATGTCTTAATTCATAATATATATTTAAATTTCAACCATTCTTAAATTAAATTTTTTTTAATGAGTAAATTAAGTTTTTCAAAATTTAAAAATTATACAATATATTAATATAAATTAATATATAATATATTTTATTTTTATACGTTAATTTGAATCTATATAACAAATCAACATTAAATAGTTTTGAAATTTTGTAAAAAAAAAAAACACTTTGATTTATTTATTTATTAAAAATTTAACATGAAAATTCAAATAAAGAACATAAATTAAAATAAAAATCAAAGCATAACTTATTCAAGTTAAGTAATTGAGTAATTCTTTAAAGTTTAAAATTACTCCCTCTATCTCATAATAATTGCATTTTAATGGTTTTTACATATAGATTAAGAATAATATATCACTTTTTAATACAATTTTATTAGAATAACCTAATCTCTCAATAAATGTATTACTATTAATTTTAGTAGTTGAATAATTTATGAAGAGATAAATTAGAAGAAAAGATAATTAATGTTATATTAAAAAATGAAAATATTATTCATTTTTAAACATTTCTCAAATATTAAAATTATAGTTATTGAAAAGCGGATTGAGTATTATCCATAAAAATAAAGTAATGGGACGAACTAACAATTAATTAGTTTTTGATTTACATGAAATTTTGTAAACTTAACTATTTTTTTAAGAACCTTTCAAATCAATAGTTAGATAAATTAATTTTTCTTATTATATATATATATATATATATATATATAATATGTACATTATTAACGTCTGATTCTTATAATACTCTATACACATTGAACATTGAACATGGAAGGAGGATACACATATAAATAGATAGAGTTAAAAAAAATAAAAAGATATAATGAACTATGGACAGAATGGTTAGCGACTAATTCATACCGATACCATTGGCCACTTTTATGGTCTGTTTAGCTTAAAAATTTGATATCACCTGAACTAATTGTGTTGTATGTATGATAAGTTGTTGAAATCAACGTACACAATGTTTTGACTTATAATAGTTAGTCAATTATTGTGTCTCTTAGTTCATAAGTTTATCCTGCAATAGTCATTAAATTAAAATATAGAGAGCATTTATGAGAAGAAAATATGATATGAAACGTGATATATAAAACAACCAAACTTCATTAGATGGTCCAATGTGATCATACATTAGCAAATAATTGATAATTTTTTGCATCAAGAATTATCTGTCTAACTGATGCTACGGCTGCTATAGCTCCCAATGCGGAGAAAGTCACAGCAATAGTTACATTCAACCAGAAAATAGGGCTTCGCTTTGATGGCTTAAATGTAAAATTATAGAAAATTACCGGTAAGATGAAGTCAAGTGGGATAAAGCCAAAAGCTCCTATAAGAGAGTTTATGTCTCCAAAAAATGGAAGCATGGCTGCTATAGTGGTTGAAATAGTAATAGCTAATGACCTAGTAATCACTCTTGGGATTACATTGCGTTTAGAGAACTCAGGACTTTTTGGATCTCCAAATGTTTGCTCCAGCACTTCATTTGTTGGTTGCAAATAAACCTGCATTAAAATTCAAGGGTTATTTTTTTTAAAAGTATTAACATAATTTTTTTTTCTTAATTACATTTTTTGTCATTTATGTTTCACAACTTTATAAATTTTGTCATGTAACTTTTAAAATTATATATTTTATCACCTAACTTTCAAAAATTTGTACGTTTTATCATTTTGTTAATTGATTATCTAATGTTATTAGTTGATTGTTGACATGACATATTGATGATTAATATAATACATTATTTGATATGATAACATGCATGATATAATGTCCTATATCAAAAATCAACATATTATATTAATAGTTAATTAACACATCAAATAATCAATTAAAAGAATGTCAAAATGTAAATAGTTTGAAATGTTGGATAACAAAATGTGCAAATAAATTTTGAAAGTTGAGAAACAAAATTTGCTAAATCATTAAATATAGGTGATAAAATTAAGGTGCAATTAAACTTATATCTATTTAAAAGCTCTAAAAAAATTTAAAAAAAATGAACTACTATTTCTCTAAAATGAATAATGAATTGAATCAAACATACACAGATGATTGGAGTGTTAGTGTGTCACTTACCACACCAACAGCGGATAATTGTGTTATAGTGAAAATATTGGTCATATAAATAAACCACTTGGGTACTAGGGGCTTCCCATTGTCCACAAAGTTGCTTAAGATGAAGCCTTCAGATTCGTTTCCAAATGCCCAATAACCAGATATAGATACGCTAAAGAAAGTGGCTATAAGTACAACATAACAAACACATAGTCCCTTTAACATCTTCCCTTTTACAGGTGGTGCTATTGTTGCCTACAACCAAAGAAAATGCAATTAAGCATGTAATAATGAAAGCAAATCAGTTATTTTTATCTTAACTGAAATGATTAATTTGATGGAGCAACTTGAGCTTAATTAGACCTGAATTTCTGGAATGATTCCGTTTCCATAAGTCGTGGCTATGATAGCAATTGCATTGAAAATTCCAAATAAGCGATTCACTGAATCACCTTTCACAGAATAATCCTTCTCTGGTCCTTTTGATGATTCTCCTGCATGTTGGTAATGTGCAAAACTAAGAAGTTCAATTCGAATGATTTGCCAATAGCATAAAGTGCAAATATTATTAAACTACCAAAAGAAGAAAAAAGAGATTCATAAATTACCAATGTATATGGAACCAGCAGTAGCAGCAGCACTATAGGCTAAGCACAGAAGCAAGGAAACTAGATTAATGTGCCTTAACGAGTGGAAAGATGGGATTTGAGCCAAAAACAACATGAAGCATCCAAATATGATTACAAACTCGTAAAGCTTCATGGTCCCATTTGGATTTGACAGCAAGTAAATTGCCTGTAGTTAATTCCATTGGAAAAAATAAACACAAAAGTATAAAGTGTGGAGTAACCTTTGATTAAAGAATCAATGGTTTGAAATTACAATGAAATACGTGCACAAATAGTTTATATATACAAACTATACTTTTGACTCGAATGGAGATAATAAATGAATGAAAAGAATAGTTGAAGATGATAAACCTTCATGCATTGTCCTCCCAGGAGAGTACTAGCTACAACAGCACCATAACAAACTGCGAACTGAGTTGGGCCGACAAAATAACGACCCCATCGTGGGCCTGCCAAGGTTAGATATTTACATCGATGGTGAGAAGTTAGGTGAAGAGAGAGAGAAGACAATGTCAAAATATTTTATTGTGGATTAATACTACTTTAATTAATTAGGATCTAGTAAGAGAATAATAAAGTGTATTTATTAAAAAAATCAACTGCTAATATTATAATTAATTTTAAATTTCATTTTATATGAATTTAATTTTATCATAAATCTTAATTATTAATTTTATAATCAACTATTATGAGTATATTTTATACTCCCACTATAAAAAGAGTTAAATCCCATTAATTAACAATTAGGGGTTGGAATTTGACCATCAAAATATCAATTCGTTTGAGATTGAGGGAGTAGTTTGTTTTGTCTCTAGGTTTTAATCTTGGGTAAACCTTCAATTTTATTATCCATCAAAAATAACATGTATTTACCAAAATAAAACCTAGAGCAACAAATTTGATAATATTTTAATTAGTGACTAAAATGATGATAAGTTTTTAAATTACATTACATTTTTGTTCTCTATATTTAAAATTTGATTCACAGTTCTAGTTTCTCAATCCTTAATTATACAATTTTAAACTCCTATTCTCTTAAAATTCACAATTTTGACATTTTTGGTCAATAATGTAAAATGAGTCTAACTTAGTTGGTTGAGCATAATAAGTGAGTGTTATAAATTCCTTTGATATTGAGTTTGATTTTCATAGATCAAAAAACTTTGTAATATTAATCATGAACTAACATTATACAAATGACACAATATCTAATATAAGTTAAAATATTAAATATTAATTATTGCATTATTTATCTAATATCAAATCATGATTTATATTATAATTTTAGCAGCCAACAAATGAATATTTAACAATCAGATTAAAAATGTAAATTTTATATATAAAATTGGTAACTAAATTTACATAATTAAAATTTGAGGAAAAATGCAGAGTTAAATCGAGTATAAATGAATCAAAAGCACAATTTAGTAACATTTTAATAAACTAATTTCATGACAAATTTTTCTTTTTTGGGACACCAGACCAAAATTTTTAAAGAACTAATGTAGTAATACATGTCACTTTTTAAAGAACCAAATTAAGCACATCATACGTACGTTTAACGTACCTTGGGTGTAATATTCTTTTCAAATGTACAAAAACCCATATGTGATATGTCATGCATGCCCCATATGATGCTTAGCTTTAAAAGTTATAGTGACAATGACTCAATTATTCAATTCTTGATCAAGTGCAGAATGAGACAATTTAAAGATAGTAAGTTTAAGTCGAAATTAATGTACCATGTGATAATAAAAAGACCAAAATAAGACATCCTTAACTGGCATATAACCTCAACGTAGACATGATGAGAGAGATTGTGAGGTACCTAAAATATCGCGAGCCATGTCCCTAAACCGTAGCTGACGCTTACCCATCTGAGCATGGTGTTCGAGAACCCTAGATATTAAATTGTAGGAATAGAAAGTCACAAATGCTCCTATCACCAAGCATAAGATCCCACTTGTCCATCCAAGGAACGTGAATGCATAAGGAAGACTCAAGAGAGCTGGTGCCACGATCGACGTTGTCAAGTGGTACCCACAATGCACCCAAGAACCTTCAAAATTATCACACGTAGAATGATGTAATAAATAATAATACTCATTTTCTTTTAATTTTGTCTATAATATTCTTCTCGTCTTTACACGCCCCATGTGCTCCAATTATTCTAACCAGACAGTCAACCATTGCACAATTGCATCAAATTTTCCGTTCGTCAAAGTCGGCTTCGAAAAGTACTGGCAATGAAATGATTCATTTGATGAACTCACTTAGGCCAGATACTAATTGTTAAAATAATAGGTACGACATAAATAAAATTAATTTATATAAATTATATTTTATTATTTTATATTTTTATTTTTAACTTATAAAAAATTATTTTAATCTTGTTTTAAGAAATGTTTTTGGATTTTTTTTATTATAAAAGTTCATATAATAATAATAATAATAATATTATTATTATTATTATTATTATTATTAATTCTATTCAACTTGAATATGATTATTTATAGAGAATATTTGTGATAATTTTTTAAAAAATAATTCATATAATTGTGGTGGTGGAGGAGGGGTTGGTTTACTTTCGGGAAGAAGAATGAAATTTCCTTTTTGAGGTTTTGTTTTTGAGCTAAATAAGGTTATGGCAGGAACAACACTTTTAAAACCGGGCAACATATTCTGAAGAAGGAAAGGTGGGAGAAAAAGGAAGAATCAAGGACAAGAATCACATACCATGGTTCTAAATAATGTTATTACATAAAAGACTAGAACGAAGAGTATAATTAAGGAGAGTTTAAGAAGGGTATGAATGATGATAATTACCTTTGGATTTGAGGACAAAGAGAGCACCTGCATCAACATCCTTTTGGTTTTGAAGTTGTTCCAAACCATTTGGATTCTCTTGTTTTTCATCTGGAAGAAGGGTACCCATCTTCTCTCTCCTCAGTGATGATCTTAATAAACGAATAGAGAGAATGAAGGCAGAATATTTAACACAACAACGCCGTGTTAATTTGACTTGGGAACTCAGTGGTGTCACTTTTATAACGCCGTTGCACTATGCAACGATCAACTTGAGAAAAAGGGTCTTCATGACCAAAATGACCTCATTATACAAAGAATCCAAACTAAAAACACTTTTTTAATTAAGAAAATTTTAAAAGTATTTCTCATACATAGCTTCGACTTTGTAGGAGAGAAAAAATCAACATGTAATCTCTATATTTCAAAAGCATTAAGTTTTCAACAACCGGCCAAAATATTCTTTTTGGCACAAATTAAAAAATAAAAATAGTAGCTATGTGTAAGCTATATATATATATATATACTTTTACTATTTAATTGATGTCCCAATAATCTCTACTTATTGTATAATTTTTATTCTTTTTTGTAGTGTTGTATACCTACTTTTAGGCTTTTGTATAATAATTTATGTCAATCAAGTTGGTAAGGAAACTCGATACTTACTAATATTCAACTCAAATTGATTTCTTGATAATTATAACAGTTATAAAATCGATGAAAACGAAAAAAAATATTGTTAACAAGCAAAGAGCTATGTATATAGATGATAGATAAATATATTACTATATTAGTCATTAGATAGATTAGATTAACTTAGTCATTAGAATTTTTTTAGCAAGTACCTCTATATTATTTAGGAAGATCAATAATAATTAAAATCAATATTAATTCACAAGGACGAAAAGAGATCTTATAAGATAACCTCATCATCCAAGTTTATCTTAATAAGAACAATAATTTTTTAATAAATTTTACTAAATAATACATTTTATTATAAGGTGAAAGTCTAAAATAATAAACATCAAATTATCGTAAGTTTTAGTTTTCGCATGAGAAGAATTATTTTCATATGATAACATTTTTAATCACTCATTTTTTAGTTAAAATTTATTAAAGATTATAAAAATTACTAGTAAATTTTGTTAAGTAAAAAAATAAAATTCATACACTATAATTTTTAATAAGTTTCATTATGTAATAAAATAATAAATTTAATATGTTTTAAGGCTCTGTAAATATTGTTCAATTTTGTTTTAATTCCTACAATTTTTTTTTAGATCTTTGACATTTTTAGTGTTCTTTTTTTAATCCTTATCACTAACTTTAATTAATTTAGTGTTAGAATAGGAAGCAAAATATAAAACTTTAATTAATATAATTAACGTATAAAAATATTTTAAATTAAGGTAATTAAATTATTTTTATGTTCAAAATTTAATTTAGTAACTTATTTGTTATTTTATATAAATATGGTAACTATATGTAATTTGATTTTAAAATTTTATGAGGTTAATTTTCATTAAATTTAATTTTACTTCTTTTCATTTTGTTATTTTTTTTATTATATCTCGCTTTTTAAAAAAAGTTTTAATTTACTTAGATACTTATAACACATTTCTAATATCTTACTTTTAGTGTTGTTTGCAAATATCAATTTATTAATTTTAATTGATTGTAATATGATTTATTTATTTTTTATATATTACAATTAGTAATTTTGTTTCCAAAGATAAAAGTAATGTATTAAAAATAAAATATAAGTGTTTAAGTAAGTTATAATGTTTCTTAAAAAAATAAATGCTAAAAATAAACTAGTAAATTGAAAAGTAAGAACAAAATTAAAAATAGTAAAAATTATTGTTCATAATATGTTAAAATAAAAAATAAATTCTAAATAAAATTATATGTAATTATTTTATTTATATAAAATAATAAATACATTACTTTATTAAATTATGTACATAAAAATATCTTAATTTAAAATATCATTTGAAATTTTAATTATTTTAATCAATATTCTATATTTTATCAACTATTTTATCCCTCAATTAATTAGAGTTAGAGATAAAATTTAAAGACAACATTAAAAAATGTTAAATATTTAAAAATGACAAAAAAAAAATCTTACAAAGAATAGAGTAGAATACAGCAATATTTTATTATCGGACATAATTTATTATTACATGAGAGGATTCAAACTCCAAGAATAATGAATTATCTGAAGTGAGATTTTTACATAAAAAATTTTCCGATGAAATTTTTCACCACTGAGACTCTATATATTTTTTTTTTGTTTTTATTATTTAAATTTCATCTCTCTTACTTTTAATTAAATGTTCAGATTTTACTTAACATAAATGTCACATGAGAGGTCTCAAGTGAGATTTTTACTTGAATTTTCTTTTATGAAAATTTTCACCACTAAAATTCATACATTATTTTTTATTATTTAAATTGTTTTCTTTTACTTTTAATTAAATATTAAGGTTGCAGCTGCCATAAATGTCACATAAGAGTCGTCTTTTAGAGACAGGAGAAATATATTCTGAATTGAACTATTGAAGTCATCTCACGAATGAAAGCTAGCTGTATTCTCGTTTTCACATGGAGCATTGTTATTTAAGTCGAAATAAATTTCGATTCAACGTCTGAATTATTAAAATATTAATATTTTTAATAAATTTATTATAAAATAATTATTTTATTTAATATTTTATTATTTAAATTAACTTTTTAATAATTCGGAACATGTTTCAGAATATTTTTTTTGGAAGATGCAGCATTTTTCATTTTTGAAATCTTTTGAACAAATATGATTACATAATATTTTCTTTAACTTGAAAAAAGTTATTGCAGTTGTAAACAAATTCAATGTTATTACTTATTACGCAGTAGTCAAGATGAACTAGGTACTACATATTTAAATCAAATTTTTAATTAGGCTTAAATAGTATCAATGAATATATATATATATATATATAT